GCCCCAGCATAACAATTCCCGGGTATCACAAGTGAGGAGAGTGTTGTTGCACTCAGGTTCTACTTATGGGCTTCCCATAGGCATATGGTTGGCCACTGTAAGAACAGGAGTCTGAATAAGATGCAGAACTCTTCCTAAATTCATGTATTGACCAATCCTACTGTAAGAACGTAAGAAGAGCCTGCTGGATCAGGCCAATGGCCCTATGTTCTCACAGTGGCCACCTTGATTCTTGTAGGAAACCCTCAAGCAGAGCCAAACCTGAGAGCACTCACCTCCTGTGCTTTCCAGTAACTGGTATTCAGAAGCATTTATGCCTCTGACTGTGGAGTTGGAGCATAGTTAGCATAACTAGTAGCCGTTGACCACTTTGTCCTGCATGAATTTGCCCAACCCTCTTTTAAAGTCATTCAAGTTGGTGGCTATCACTGCAAGTTCCATAGCTATTTTGATTCAACAACAATGCCCAGAGTTCAGGAAGTTGGAGATGTTCCTGTAGTATAATCTTTCATAGCCCATCATCTCCACCTGATGGTTGAGGATACGCACACACACACCAGCAACAGGAGGGCTACAGTGGTACTAGCACCACTCTTTTTTGCCTTGGTCAGACGACACCTGGAACACTGTCTTCAGTTCTGGTCACCAGAATTTAAGAAGGACATTGACAAGCTAGAATGTGGGCAGAGGAGGGCAACCAAGATAATCAAAGATCTGGAAACTAAGCCTGATGAGGAGTGGCTGATGGAACTGGTTATTTTTAGCCTGGAAAATAGGAGACTGAGAAGAGATATGATAGCCATCTTCAAATATATGAAGGGCTGTCACATGGAAGACAGAACAAGTTTGTTTACTCCTGCTTTGGAGGGTAGGTCTCAAATTAATGGTTTCAAGTTACAAGAAGATTCCGCCAAAACATCAGGAAAAACTTTCTGACAGTAAGAGCTGTTTGACCATAGAACCATCTCCCTTGGAAGGTGGCAGACTCTCTTTCAATGGAGGTTTAGAAGCAGAGGTTGGACAGCCAGCTGTTGTGGATGCTTTAGTTGAGATTCCTGAATCCCAGAGGGTTGAGATTCCTGAATCCCAGAGGGTTGAGATTCCTGAATCCCAGAGGGTTGAGATTCCTGAATCCCAGAGGGTTGGACTAGATGGCCCTCAGGATCCCTTCAAACTCTATGATTCTGTAGCATCCTCTCTGTCCCATAATACAAAAAATTGGTTACCATGAATCATTGGCTGCATTCACATTCTATTTCCTTCTTTTTTCCTGCATTTTATTTGAGTTTCCATAAAAGCCACTTCTGAAAAAACTAATGGAATATAATGCACGTTTAGTGCTCATTTCACTGTTGATGCTAGAAAAAAATCATTTTCATCCTTCTTTACTCAGAAAATAACAGGAGTAAAGTGATGAAATGTGGGGCAGTATATTAGCATATGGTTCTTCCCTCTTGTTTTAATCATGGGAGAACAGAAGCAGACATGTATGGAATGGGTGGGGGAATAGTGACATTGCCCAAAGGACTTTGTTGTGTTGCACAACACCCACTGATGTGAATGAAATTTAGCACAACATGCCAGTATATTGGCTTTAAAAGCCGCAGTTCTGTAACACAACAGGTACCGCATTGTGAAAGGAACATTGGAAAATGGGACAAAAGCACTAGCATTATAATCAGGAAAATTAATGCAATATGTCTGAATTCACCCATTGGTTGACCATAGATATGGGGCAAACATACACAAGCCTGTCTGATCCTTAAGAAGCCCTGTTTGTGGCCTGCAAGTAAGGGTCATGAGCCTGGTGTAGGGCTGGCAGAAGACATTTCAGCACCTAAGGCAAACCACAAAGTGGCACCTCCCTGCCAGGGAATAAGAGGTGAATGAAGCTCTACATCAGGACAGGGCAGATCTACTATGAAATAATAAAACGTGAGCTTCAGGGCTCCTAATCCCTGCTTCAGGGGCTCCAGAAGCAATTTTAGTCATACCCACACTGCTTAACATTTTGCCAGCTAGGAGGCCCCATTTGAGTTGTACAACTCAATTTTTATTTTTATTTTTTTGTATATATTTCAACAGTGCCAAAGTCTGAGCATCAGTAGCACAGATGCTGTAAAGCTTGTTGTAAAAAAACCCACTAAAGAAGAGAAAAGTGGCTGCCCAGATCTTGTTGCTGGTTGTGAAGGAGCCCTCATAACCGTTCAAGTTTCAGGCCCCCCAAAATGTAGGCCCACCACTTCATCAGGAAGAAGTGGGGGAGGGAAATCAAATCAGCCATGTTCAATGGTTGAACTGGAAATCAAAGGCCATGGCAGCGGGGTGGGGGAGCTACTCTGAATCATGCCAGGCAGACCCCAGGGGGCAGTGCCCACTGCTTCCTCCCATGGAGTGGGAAGAGAAGAGCAGCACCCCCAATTTGCCAAGAGGCTGCTGTAGAGGCAGCCTTTGAGGGTGCATCATCCTACTAGGTCTCCTGCCTCTACACAGGGGGGGAGTTGCTGAAAGGCTATATCTCAGCAGGAAGTGATCTGACCATGACAAGGGACTGGTGTCAATATCCCCCACCTTCTTCCTGCCCAGCTGAGAAAACACATCCAGAGTGTAACCTGTCACATGCGTTAGGCTGATGATGTTGGGACAGCCCCATGGTTATCACGGCAGCCATAAAGTCCTGAACCACCCCAGAGCTAACCACTTTGGGCCTTCAGCATGGATGCTAAGTCCCCCAACACCAGCAGTCTGGGAGTCCTCAACACTGCCTCCAAGATCAGCTCTGACAGCTCTGTCAGGGAGACTGCTGGGCAGTGGGGTGGGTGGTGAACCAACAGAATCCCTAATCTGCCCCGATTGCCTAGTACCAAGAACACACACTCTAAATCCCATCCCAAACTGGACACACACAGAGAGAACACACAAACTCTGCCTCCCTTCCCCTCAAGTCTGCCTTGATGCTACCCCGAATACTTAGAATATCCAAAGATGCACATTTAAAAGAAAGGAAGAAAGGAACTACATATGTGCATGTGCAGTGAGGTGTTATGCCATTTCTACCAATGTTTACGGGGTGTGGAGGTGACACTGATGCACTACTTCATAAACATGCCCATGTATATGCACAGTAGGCAACTTCCTTACATGAAGGTATGCTCAATTTGGAAGGCTCTGCACAAAACTGTTCTGTCAAAAACCTCAACCCTGTGTATTTCAAACCCTATGAGTATACATAGCCCTAATCCACAAAACCATAACCCACCATAAGTTTCCTAACCTTTAGGGTGCCCCAAGATGCTTTGTTGTTGCTGTTTTGCTACAATGGACTAATGCAGCTCCTCCCCTGGAAATTCAAAAGAAGAGTTTATTAACAGCTGTCAAAAGTGATACATGATCAGTAGCAGTATATCTATAAGTATTGGATGCTGGAAACTGACAACTAGCCTAGGTGGGTTAGCTTCATACTGTGAGGCTTGTAGGCTTCCCTGAAGTCAGTATATTGTGGAAGTGATGTGAGCACATACTGAAAATCTAGGTTTGCACAATTAAAGTGGATTGAAGTGATCTGTTGCACATTCAGAACAAATCCACAGCAATGCACCTTTCGTAGCTAGGAATGCAACAGGGAAATGCAGTGAGCAAATGTGGAATGGAAGTATGATGAACTAGAAGATATATAGACATAACACAGGCAAATCAGTATGCATGCTCAGTGTCATAGCGAACATAAGAAGATCAGGCTGGATCAGCCTAATGGCACTTCTAGCCCACCCTCCTTTCTTTACAGATCCCAACCAGATGCCCGTGGGAAACCTGAGTACAAGAGCACTCCCCTCTTCCTGGTTTCCAGCAATTTGTATAACCTTCCTACAAATGCTCAGTAAAGCATGGACATAGCCTAACCCCATTTCAGCTTTTGCACAAGGAAATCAGGATGAATGCCCAATAAACAGCTTGCCGTGTAAGAGACTCTGGAAGCACGTAGAAAAGGATAGGCCTTTGGTTTGGCCTGGTATGGCATTCTTATGCTTTTACGTGCTAAGAAAACACTGGCGGATTTACAATACTATGCAGATTATTTATGCCAAACAGTGGTAGTTTTCTCAGGTCACCCTGCCTAATGCAAACCAGCATCCCAAAATTATATCAGTTACATGAACCCATTTGTCAGTGTGGAGCTGATTGCAAGGCTAAATAGTTAAGGAAGGTTGCTCTGCTCCTTTAAAACCCTCAGTTTTCCCCTTGCCTGGCTTAAGTGCACATTTGCATCTTCAGAACCCCCTCCCTCCCCACCCTTCTCCAATCTGACATCTCTAAATAAAAACTCTCTGCTTGGACTAGTTGCCTCTTCTCCTGCCTTGGGAAAAATCTGTCCCGGTGCTCCGGGAGATATTCATTGCCACTTTAAATCATATAACAGCGTGCAAAGCAAAAATATGTGGGGTGGAGGGGAAGAATAAATAAAAATAAACCAGTGGTCTCTTAATGAGCTGACTGTACTTTGCATCAAGGGGAAGAATAATACTAAGGAGGGGGAAGAGTGAGAAGCTGTATATTTATGTGTGTTAAAAATAATATATAATTGGTCCGTCCCCCCCATCATATTGCAGCTGTTGCCTAGGCATAAAGAGCAGAGCGAGAGGTGGGATATATATATGAATATGTATATGTGTGCGTGTATATATATTCCTCCTCGCACAGATAACCTCTCTCTTAAAGGGAGAGAGAGAGATTTTTCAAAAAGTTATTATTGGGAAATAGCAAAGCGGCTGGTATTCTCAGCGAACCAAAGTCTGCAGAATTGCTCCGCCCTTCTCGGCTTGTTGGAAGGGGTGTTAAATTCTTGAGCATTGGGAATGGGAGCAGAGGCTTCGCGCTCTCCTTTCCTCCTCTCTCCCCCAGTATCACTACTGACCCCGCCTCGTTTTCTAGTGAGATGCGGTGCAGACACTAAGCCTTAAAGCTCAAGAACGTGCCCCCCGAGAACAAGACGGACTAGTCACCTAGGTCAGAAGGACTGCTAGAAGCGTTTTCTCCTCCTCCTCCTCGTTCGCCCCCCGCCTCGCCTGCCTTCCACTCTTCTCTGCATTACCTGGACGCTGAGCATCGCTCGCTCTCTGTGCGTGGGGGGGGGGGGGTGCAGCTCCATCAGAACCTCGAGTGATCCATCTCGGGATGACGCGACAGGGATCCCAACTCCTCGCTTAAAGGCAGCTTCGTTTAGGAGGCAAGCGGTGGGCTCCGGAAGGGCTTTCCCGCACCCACATCTTCTTCCTATTTATTTTTATTTCCACCATCTCCAGCTGGCTGAGTAGGAAACTGGACGAAGGTACGGTGGCACTTCTCCCTCCCTCCCTCCCCCGCCAAAAAAGCACCCAAGCTAGGAACGGCGCGGTTGGTGGGGTGGTTTAGCGGCGCGTATTTCTTACTGGTATGGAGGACGGGGGTGGATCTGTGCCTGTGATTCTTTTGCTTCTCCCTCCCCGCCAAACTAGGTATTCGTCCTTTTTCGTGTATTAAGGGATAGAGAGAGGTGTCTGGTGTGAGGGAGTGGAGTTATTATTATTAATATTATTATTAGGAGTATAAGAAGTATATTCGGTTGCGTGGACGAGGTCTCTGGGTCTTGAGGTTTCTCTGGACTTTATACAAAAGAGGATTACTCAAAGCGCAGAGGGAGAGTGCGTGAAACTCTCCTGCGGTTGGACTGAGGGACCTAGAGCCGCGGGCTGCCGTCTAGGTGGACCTGCTGATAAGCGGCTTTTGTGTGTGAGAGAGAGAGTGTGCAGGGGGTGGCAGTGTGTGTGCACGACCTCCAGCGGCGTGTGGCTCGCCGTGCGCCCTTCTCTCCAGGCCGTGCGGTCGTGAGAACGCGCGATCCTCCCGTGCAACGTGTGAATATATATTTTTGCCGGTGTAACCTTGGGGGGGTATGTGTGTGCGCGCGTGCGCCAATGTCTCCTCGCCACCCCTCCACGGTTCGTGTCCCTGCATTAGCTCGGCGTATATGTGAGAGTTTTGCATGGAGGACTGTCGGTCCTGTTTCTGTGCGTGCGCGTATCTTCTCTTGCACTGGGGCTGTATCCTGTGGCTCGCGCGCATCTTAAGCGCATCTCTGGGCTGCGTCTCTCAAGTGCGTTTTGGACGCCGGGCGTTTGTGTGTGTGCGCGCGCGCGCACGCCTTTGCGCACCTTCTGCTCTCCCTGCCTGCTGGTGTGTGTGTGTGTCTTTAGCTGGTTCCTTTCCTGATCCGTGTGTTTGTGTGTGTGTGTGCGCGTGTGCGTGTGCGTGTGCGCGCTCGTGCGATTCTTTCTCTGTGTGCCCTGCGTTGTGTCGCATGGAGAGCTGGCGCTGAGTACGGGGCTCCGTAGCCTGCTTGGGTCTCCTGTGTGTGTGTGTGTGTGTGTGTGTGTGTGTGTGTGTTGGGGTGGGGAGAGAAGAGAAGAGAAAGCAAGCACACACACACACACAAGTCCCCATCACGTAGAGAGACAACCCCAGAAACTGCATAGCAGAGAAGGGGAAAGACAGAGGAACCAGAAGCCGCGTTTGGGTAGCTTGAGCCGGCTAAGCAAGGTAAGGATGGGGGGGGGGGGTTTGAGAGAAAAGGGGTAGGCTTTTGCCCAAGATAAGAAAAGCGCGCGGGGGATGGAGATTGCATGCATTTCAGCAATGGGGGGAGTGTGTGCAGAGGGACGGTTTCTCCTTTGCAAATGGATCTTTCGCTTGCAGTTCTCTGTCTCACCCCCTCCCTATTTCCTCTGGAGATCCACGTGAAAGGGGTTTGTTTGGTGAGAAAGAGAGAACTGATTTTGGGAGCGACGGGGTGGGGGCGCTTGACACTGTCTTCCACCCACCCGTTTCCCCGCCGGCCCTCCGCTCCGATATATCTATCTATCTATCTCCCGGGCGGGCCGCGAGGGTATGAAAGAGAGGAGGAGGTGGAAAGAGAGACCCTCTTCCGAGCGCCCCGAGGGAGCTGCCCGCACGCCGGAGGCAGGCGATCCGGGAGCGGCAAGGCTGCGGCAAAGCATTGCGGTGGAGCACCCCCCGCACCGCACCGCTGCCGCCGTCCCTAGGGAGAAACCGGGCAGGGAGCCCGCCAGCTTCGGATTGGGGGGGGGGGAGGCGGAAGGCAGCCCAGCTGTGGGTTCTTCCTCCTCAAGTCATAGCCTCCCTCTTCCATCTCAAAGCAGTCAGCTTCTCCGTTCCACGATCCTGCCCCAGAGGCCTCATTCAGTGCCATGGGAAGGGTCCTTCTACAAATTGTTCAGACCTACGTCCATCATCCATCTTCCCCACGCCACCACTTTCTCTTCCAAAGAATCCCAATGCTCCCTCAGCCTCTCCCACGTTGCCCAGTCCTCGCTGTATCCGTCTCCCCCAAAAGATCCGAGCCTGCATGTTCCTCCCTCTTCCATCCTGCCTTTTCTACTCTTCTTTCTGATTCTCTTACCCCCGCTTCCGTCTGCCACACTCTACCCCTATTCATCCCTGATTCCCACCCTCCTCTCCATTTTTCTTCCCTTCTGGTCTCCCATGACCTCCACCTTCTCTCCAGGCTCAGTTTTTCCTTACTCACTTTCCTTACACACTCCTGTCCTGGTCTAAGCACACATATACAGTACTTTCCTTTCTTCCCCACCGGACACAGATTTCTGCATCCTTTTCATCCTTCAAATTCTCCTTGGCCTTCCCTTCCTCCCCCATTTCTTCTCCTTCCTTCTTTTTCTAACACCGCCTGCCCCAAGTTCCATTCTGTGATCTTCATTGTTCTCCAAGACAACTCCTGGACTTCCTTAGCAACCCATTTTATTTTATTTTATTTTATTGCAACTCGTTTTTCTTCTCTTCTCTCCCTCTCCCTCTCTCTCTATCTCTCCTTCATAAAGAAGGCAACCCAAATGTTTAAATGTCACAAATGCGGTTCAGCAACTTCTTCCCCCAGGAGGTCAGGCAGGGTCCTGTGTTGAAATAAAACTTGAATGCACAGCTGCTGCCAGATTAGGCCATAGATGTGTGTGTTTGTGTATGTGTAATATTCATGGAATCCACCTCCTGTGAGAATGTAGAGGTTTGGGGCAAATTATATAAGGTTCTGCATGATAAAAGTTGCTGGACAGTTTGGATGGATTTCAGCCTAGTGAATTATGACTTTGGTTTGCACTGCCGATTAAGGTGCCCTTTTGGGATGCTGGATGCTCGCGCGCACACACATACACACACCGATAATAAGCACTGTTAATTTGTAAATGTAGAGAGCTGTAGCCTCTGGGTTATGAGGGGGAGTAGTTAATGTTCCTGGGTTGCATTTTTTTGGGGGGGGATTTTTAGCATAAATCTAAAAAAAGAACAGGAGGCACATATCAATGGCTGGCACAGAACTCAGAATCAATAGGGGGACAGCATGCATTTGCAATGAGCATTGTGTAAGAGCAGATGACCATCTTCTCTTCCCTAGATTCATTCCTTGCTCACTCCCGCTTGCATCTTTGCCTTTCTGTGCTAGATTGTCTCTCCTGCGCCCCACACACTTCTCTTTCTCCTGCCTTTCGAATGGATTATGCATTGCTTCCAAATACGTGATCCAAATCCTTCTGACTATGTGCAAAATGACCGGCATTGGAATGCTAAGCATACATTACAATGGAAATGCAGTTTAGCGGGGGCTCATTCTGTTTTGGTATTCACGCCGTACACAAGACAGAGTAATGCACTGTATCCATGTATTGTGTGTATTTGAAAAAGAGAGGCTGAAGCTATGGATGGATAGACACTGATCAGAGTTATAATTTCAAATGCAAGGTACATCTGTGCCCTTTTTTGAATTGCCGCAATACATTTTATGTTGTCCTTGTACTGTACCTATTCTTGTTCAGCAACAGTAGCTCAATGTGTGCTGTTCACCTATTTACTATTAGTACTATTTTTATTTTTTTATTCCTGGAATTATTACTACTGAAACATATTCTATCTTTGTCCTCCTTCTTTTGTAGATTATCTGTCTTTGTTCAGGAGCAGTAGGCTTGATTGCTGATCCTAAAACAAAACAAAAAAGATGCTTCTGTGGTTCTTTCTGGTGTTGTCCAGCCCAGCTTCTTCTACGGATCCAGAGACTGACTCATCTGTGGAAATTTGCAATGTTTGCTCCTGTGTGTCGGTGGAGAATGTACTTTATGTCAACTGCGAAAAGGTTGCAGTCTACAGACCAAACCAGCTGAAACCACCTTGGTCTAATTTCTATCACCTCAATTTTCAGAACAACCTCCTCCTCCTCCTGTATCCAAATACATTTCTTAACTTTACTCATGCTGTGTCCCTGCAGCTGGGTAACAATAAATTACAGAACATTGAGGGAGGAGCTTTCTTAGGTCTCAGTGCATTAAAGCAGTTGCACTTGAACAACAACGAATTAAAGATCCTCCGAGCTGACACCTTCCTTGGCATCGAGAACTTGGAGTATCTCCAAGCTGACTACAATTTAATCAAATATATTGAAAGAGGAGCCTTCAATAAGCTTCACAAGCTGAAAGTCCTCATCCTTAATGACAATCTGATTGCCTTCCTTCCTGATAATATTTTCCGTTTTGCTTCTCTAACCCACCTAGATATACGTGGGAATAGAATACAGAAGCTGCCGTACATTGGAGTTCTGGAGCACATTGGCCGCATCGTTGAGCTGCAGCTGGAGGACAACCCATGGAATTGTACTTGTGATCTGTTGCCTTTGAAGGCATGGCTGGAGAACATGCCCTATAACATCTACATCGGGGAAGCCATCTGCGAGACTCCCAGTGATTTGTATGGGAGGCTTTTGAAAGAAACCAACAAGCAAGAGCTGTGCTCCATGGGAACAGGGAGTGATTTTGATGTGCGCATCCTGCCTCCATCACAGCTTGAACCTGGTTACAGCACACCTAATGGCCATGCAACACAAACATCCATGCACAGATTGGTAACCAAGCCTCCCAAGACGACAAACCCTTCCAAGATCTCAGGGATAGTTGCTGGGAAATCACTCTCCAACCGTAATCTCAGTCAAATAATAAATTTCCAGACCAGAGTGCCACCTCTGACACCTTGCCCACACCCCTGCACTTGCA